ATAAACAATCAAGTACATACTCTAATATACTCATCTGTAGGTCCCTATAAACAATCAAGGACGTACTCTAATATACTCATCTGTAGGTCCCTATAAACAATCAAGTACGTACTCTAATATACTCATCTGTAGGTCCCTATAAACAATCAAGTACGTACTCTAATATACTCATCTGTAGGTCCCTATAAACAATCAAATACGTACTCTAATATACTCATCTGTAGGTCCCTATAAACAATCAAATACATAATCTAATATACTCATCTGTAGGTCCCTATAAACAATCAAGTACATATACTTATTTGTAGGATCATGCTTCTTAATGTCAGCTGTCTTTATTTACACAACAGTTTATAACTTTAGGTATCATTATTGTAAATACCACAGTTTATAATTTTAGGTATCTTTATAGTGAATACCAGTTTATAATTTTAGATATCTTTATAGTGAATACCAGTTTATAATTTTAGGTATCTTTATAGTGAATACCAGTTTATAATTTTAGATATCTTTATAGTGAATACCAGTTTATAATTTTAGATATCTTCACAGTAAACATCACAGTTACTTAACCCTTCTGCAATGGGCTCGGTAAAATATACACGAGTCCATATACATGTTTGCACATGTTAAGTATATGTATTATAACTCTTAATTCAGTATGTGCATCTTAACAGAATTTGGTATACCTTTAGTAAACATTACAAGTATTTTGTAAACAAAAAATTAAAATTTTTTAATGAAGTATTTTTACTAAAGATTTGTTTGTGAATATATCAAGTCTGTTTGGTTACTAGTCCGAGTGGAAGTGATTTTCATGTTATGATTAAAAATACTATTCTTCATCCCAAAAATCTCAAATTTCTTTTGTGTAATCTTTAAAACTTCCTAAATACATTTCCAACATTTGTTTTCAGTAAAACTATATCTTATCAGTTATTTAATCATATATTTCAGTATTCAGCCTGTAAACAAATCCCAAAAGTATAATGAAAAGACAAGTTGTAAAATTAAAAACAAAAGACCAGCTGTGCCTTTTTCGTTATTATTGGGCATGAAGCTTCAATGTACTTCTCTTACGAGGTTGAACTGCCAAACATGTCACATTTATTTTCTGTGTTTATGTTACTGTCAACTACTGAAGTAAAACCCCACTGAAAATAAACCAATAAATCGCCGCCCATGTCAGTAGACTGTTTACGCGACACCACCATGATATGATACTCCTGAAAGCAACAAAACACTCACAAAAAGATTGTAGACTCGACCCCTGCTCCGAGAACAGGATGTCTAACGTATCGGATTATAGATGCTAAAATGTTTTTCAGTAATCACACTGCACTTAGGATCAGTGAAAACTTTTATGCTGACAACAGGATGTGTAATTTATCAGCTTGTGTATGTATCCTACAGTGTTTACAGCAAGACTTTTCGATAGTACCAACACTGCACTTCGAAACTAACAACACTACACTTTGAACCTATCAAAACATTTATTATGGCTTGTGTATGTATCCTACAGCGTTCACAACAAGTTACTTCAAAGTCAACACTGCACTTTGAACCTATCAAAACATTTATTATGGCTTGTGTATGTATCTTACAGCGTTCACAACAAGACTTTTCGATAGTAACAACACTGCACTTTGAACCTATCAAAACATTTATTATGGCTTGTGTATGTATCTTACAGTGTTTACAGCAAGATTTTGAGAGTAACAACACTGCACTTTGAACCTATCAAAACATTTATTATGGCTTGTGTATGTATCTTACAGTGTTTACAGCAAGACTTTGAGAGTACCAACACTGCACTTTGAACCTATCAAAACATTTATTATGGTTTGTGTATGTATCTTACAGTGTTTACAGCAAGACTTTTCGATAGTACCAACACTGCACTTTGAACCTATCAAAACATTTATTATGCCTTGTGTATGTATCTTACAGTGTTTACAGCAAGACTTTGAAAGTACCAACACTGCACTTTGAACCTATCAAAACATTTATTATGCCTTGTGTATGTATCCTACAGCATTCACAACAAGACTTTTCGATAGTACCAACACTGCACTTTGAACCTATCAAAACATTTATTATGGCTTGTGTATGTATCTTACAGTGTTTACAGCAAGACTTTGAGAGTACCAACACTGCACTTTGAACCTATCAAAACATTTATTATGGCTTGTGTATGTATCCTACAGCATTCACAACAAGACTTTGAAAGTAACAACACTACACTTTGAACCTATCAAAACATTTATCATGGCTTGTGTATGTATCTTACAGTGTTTACAGCAAGACTTTGAAAGTAACAACACTACACTTTGAACCTATCAAAACATTTATTATGTGGTTCGGTGCCTATACAATAAACATTGTAATTCTTTGAATATTGGTGATCCTTTTGGGGTGTTTGGGTTTTAGCAGCAAAGATGTTATTTGAGCACATGCTTATAAAATCCTATTTCTCTTTTCATCAACCAATAAAAACTCAGGTTTCAGTATTACCCATCACACTTGTTGAGTTTCTTTAGAAAATGTTCTCACTTTTATAGCTAAAGTTTAGTTTAGAAGTTCCCTTACAGTTGTGAAACCTTGAGTTGTTACTGACTTGAAGTAAGTAATCGTCATTTATAATATATACACAGAATCAGTAAGTTCAGTATATAGTTGTTGATCTAAATCCAGAGTAGCTGTTTCTGTATTTTATGTGAAATCTGTGAAACACATCACAGGATATGTAAACATGTGAAGCAAATATACACAACAAAGAATATATATATATAATTTACATGTAATGTTTTTTTCCTTCTGTGCAGATCTGTATATCAGAGTGTGTATAACTTACATATTTTCTATTATTTATACACTTTTACGTGTAGTACCCCATGTCATGTGGATTTTCTAAAATATAAATACATCTATACAGGTATGTGAAATACATATATAGATTGGTATTCATTTATAGTTTCTGTTGTATGTGAACACCTTTGTATAACTGTACACTAGTTTCAGTTTTTGAATGTATATTGTGAGTAAATATTTGCATATAGATGAGGTCGTACAACTTTTCATTGCTTTCTTTTACAACACATTTATAAATGTTACAAATAAATATAAGCTGTAAAGTCTCTAATGTTGCATCATTTGCTTTTACTTTACCTCAGTTTAGACAGCTAGGATAACACAAACTCAGTAGGCCTTACTACATAGCCGTACATATAACACAAGCTCAGTAGGCCTAACTACAGAGCCGTACAAATAACACAAACTCAGTAGGCCTTACTACAGAGCTGTACAAGTAACACAAATTCATATAACACAAGCTCAGTAGGCCTAACTACAGAGCCGTACAAATAACACAAACTCAGTAGGCCTTACTACAGAGCTGTACAAGTAACACAAATTCATATAA